TTATATCAACCAGCAAGTAATTGAATAAGCAATTTGTGACTGTGATAAATATAAAAATAGTATTATCTGTCATGTATTGAATAGGCTTGGTTAGCATCATGTAAAAAATGTACTATTACCAACATCATAGATTTGTTTGTCTAACCTGACAAACAGACCAGTAGTCGATGACCATGGTAATGGAGCACCATTGTCACCTGGATGAGGATCAATCCAACCATATGACTTTGCATGCATCGATCTAAGGAGTAGTTTGTTCACTTAGTTGAATTGTGGCCTCATCCTGTATGCAAATATCACCATCAGTAGCTATATTAATTTCAGCTTATTTTCAACCAGTAAACGAAACCATCAGCATTTTGTGCAATGAAACATATTCCCATGTACGAATCCACTTGTTTGAACTATGTACTCCCTCTGTTCCTTGATATAGAGTGTATAGTTTTCTTGCACAAATATTAACGCACACGCTGGGAGGGGAGATTTCGTTGGTTTTGGACGTAAAAGCCCCTGGTGCAAACACGTGATACTAGAGAGAAAAATAGGAAAATCACGATTCTCTCTATCCCAGGCAATTTACTTTCTTATTTAGCCTAACAAATCCCACAATATCCTCTCTGACTTATTCTCCCTTGATCGCTACCTTTCCCTCGTCCCCGCGCATTTTCCTGCGAGCAACATGGCGCGCACAGCTTCTTTACTCTCTCCCGCGCTGCATAAAGGCAAAAGCCTTGGCCAAATTCAAAATTTCTGAAGAGTCAGCTCATGGAAAATTTTCAGCACGGGAGGGAATGACAATGACGCCACTATGTGAAAATTTTCGTTTTCAAATTGGAGAATACGGGGCTATAAATCCTCCCCTCCCCACCTCCGCATCTCATCATTCTCTCTCCCGATCGCCTTCCCTATCTCCCACTCGCCATCTCTCTCTCCTGCTCGTCATCTCCAATGGTTGCTTGCCGCTACGAGTGGATCAACTGGGAGTTGGTGTCGTGCTGATTCTCCATGTGAATGAGCAAAGAGCGGCGGCCAGATTGGTTCACACGAGCGAATGAATAAAAGGACAGTAGTACGTGTAATCTTCTCTTTTCAAACAAACCTACAGCGCATGCACAACATGCATATGCGAGATGGGGATTTGCCATCTTTTTTTCTAGAAAGGTCATGCGTGGACTGTAGCTTATGGAGGGGTAAAAGTGTCAACTAAAGGAATACACCTTATAATATGAACTTTTCCACAAAAAACTATACACCATATATCAAGAAATGGAGGGAGTATCTTGTTGCCTCTAAAATTAAACGTCTTTAAAGAAATATCAAATTGAGCACCTTCAGCACGCAGAAAACAGTCAGCTAACTAGGTATCCAGAACATGTAGAAACTAATTTCGGTCTAAAATTTTGCAATCACATAATTTGAGCTTTTAACGAATCACTGTATGGAACAAATTAATTTGCAAGGCCCCGATGTGCATGTGGGCTCAATTGGTAGTAGCTAGCTGTTGACTTGGTCAGATGTGAACTGAATGGCAAAGAAACCAGAGGATACATCTGTATTCTGAACAAAACAATAGAAAGCAGGGGCGGAGCCAGGATTTGAGTATAGGAGGGCCAAGCTAAGTAGATAAAAAAAATCTAGTGCAAAAAATAATCATCAAAAACAAGATTGAGAACTTCCACGTCGGCTTCGTTGAAAATTTCAATACGTTGAAAATTTGAAGCAACCAGCTTAGTGAAATAACATAATCTTAAAACTGTTTGGTGGCGTTTTTCTAATCATAATAGCTGAATTTTGTTCTTAGAATTTAGGTATATTGTATAAGTTCGACATAGGAATTCTTTCACCTCACAAATAGAAACTCGTTCAAAATAATTTGCATCATGATAATTTTTAAGACACCCACAAGATCTGAATGCTTGATAGCATCTCAAATCACACCCAAAAAAACAACTAAAATCCGATATAATATCTAGATGAGAACTGAGAGAGATTAGTATATAGTGTGATGTGTTAACCTTGGCTCATTCGAGGCTGGAGCAGTGAAGTAGGCTGCATCGCCGACTGTGCGCATGAATCAGATGATGAGCAGCAGAGGAGGGAAAGTAGAGGCAGACGGACGGCGGCGGCGGCGCCTAATCCCAGGTTTTTTTAGGGATACCTAATCCCAGATACACGCTAATCACAGGAGAACGTGGCTTCCAGGAGACTAGAGCGGAAGGCTAACTGGCAAACGATCTGGACGGTATTGGGCTTTTACATGGGTTTTTTTTTCTTTTCCAAAATACA